GCCCTCTTGAGCAAATCGATGGTGGAAAGTGCTACAGTGCAGTGCTACAATTTTACCATGAACTGATTTTTTTTTTTGGCTTTTTTGGGTCACACCTGGCGATGCACAGAGGTTACTCCTGGCTCTACACTCAGGAGTTACTCCTGGCAGTACTCAGGGGACCATATGGGATGCTGGGAATTGAACCCAGGTCGGCCCAAAGCAAACACCCTACCCGCTGTGCTATCTCGCCAGCCCCCATGAACTGATTTTTTTCCTTCTTGTTATCCACTATGACCAGCTGTATGGAAAGTCCTTATATGACCCACTAACCATGGCTCACCATATTGGAGGAAGAGGATCCAGATACATACGCATTTAAACATCAACTTTAAATATATTGTGAAAATATGTGGACAAAATCCGTTCCTAAAATTAGAAGCCTTAGAAGATCTAAAAAGGAATTTAGACACTGTGTATTAGAGTAGAGGAGGAAGCCAAGTGTATTCTACCCCACGTATGTGGGAAAAAAGTAGAATGAAGGAGAAACAGATCAGAAAAAAATATCTACAGGTGGGTAATCATATGTGAAACTATAAGAGCTAGCCATGACCACAGGATATTAATTCAGTTTTACCATGTGAACATACATTACACACACACGCACACTTACGCACATAGATATATTGCAAAGAGAAGAAAATATGATAGATGAAATTGGGAGGAAATGCTGAGTAAGAGTCAAAACAGATGGAGGGAAGATTATTTAATGAAAAAGAGATTCTGCAAAAATAGAATTTGTTGCGTTTACAAAAACTGGTGATAATCTACGTAAGAAATTCTAGTATAGTTACCTAAGGGGCAGAGGAAGGATCTGTTTAAAATCTTCCTAGTGGCACATCCATGAGGAAGTGTTAACAATTTGAAAAATAAAATACATTACAATGCCTGAAAGGTCCTTTTAAGATTCTACTTGCATATTTGTAAACTCCAAGGCAGTTCACAATAGTAAACAATTTGACAAAGATTCTGTTTGAAAAATATCATCCAAAAAGCAAGATCTCCTATGACAAGTTTCTATCCTGAGTGAATTTTTATAGCCAAATTAGAAACCGTGGAAAACAGAAATTGTAATGGATGTGCTAACTCAGCAATGAATTGCAGAATGGCAATGGGATACTATTTAATGATGTTAGAGCTGAAATGTATCATTCCTAAGATTAGCATATATGTTTAAAGATAAAAAAAAATAAGAACCTTCATTATCCAGCAAAAAAACACTTACTGGTAGTCAATGGAAAGGGGATTTTTGCATAAACGGAAAAATTGGAGATACATCGGGAAATTTAAAAGGATTATACAGTTAATAAACTGAAGTATTTGAGCACTGAGGCTACAAATGTTAGTGAGGTTTTTTTTTTTTTTTGCCTAACTTATTTCAGAAGGTAACCACTAGCAAAGTTCTTCCAGATCTTTGGGAACTTACATGATTATTTTCATCCTTCACATAGATCTGTGCATGCACACACACACACACACACACACACACACACGCAAGCACACACACACACACGCAGAGTCAGTTCATTGATCAAAAGTATACCTAGCATCCATTTTATACTAGATATTTGGGATAACCTGTCAAAAAGTCAGTTCTAACCATCAAGAATTCTCTAGATGGTTATAGAGGTGCAGAGAAAAAAGTAGCATAGAGGAAATAATTCAACAATAGGGGAAGATATATATGACTGATGCTATATGCATATAAGATACCTATCTGCGTTGGGATTGATCAATGAAATGGAAGTTTTAGCACTTGGCTTAAGAACTATAGACTTGAGTCAGCCTTTGTACCCTTCTAGAATGATTAATAGGTTTGAAACATAGTCTCAACTTCATCAGATATTGAAACAGGTAAATGTCTGCATATGGAAAGAAACAGCTGATGGGCTGTTGACCTTAGAATCAGATGGGGCCTGCAAGCTGATTCATTGTTTGCTTATTGAATGACTGACCTTCAGCAAGTTACTTAACCTCCAGTTCCCATGAAATAGGAAAAGTAATAGCTACTCGTTCACTCTCTGAAATTTGAAGGAAATAATGTGTGTGATAGACCTGAGGGCACCAAGAATGTAGCCCATAAAATAGTAGCCACTATATTCTCTCTGTTGTTCTTGATATGCTGTCCAAGGGTGCTCCCAGTCAGAGCTCAGGGAACAGGAGTTTCGCTCTGAGTGATACTTGGCTAAGCAGGCCAAGTTCAAGGACAATGCTCAGGGATATAGTGCTGCTGGAACCCTGTGGTGCTGGCGACTAGTTGGGACACTACAGTGGTGCTCAAAGGATGCTAGTCACATTCAGTCATGATTTGGAGGCTCTGTGGTTCCAGGGGTGAAACGAGGGTTAACCTCTGTACCATCTTCGAAGCCCTGCCAATATGTTTTCTTTTAGCCTTTGCAAAATTTTGGGCCAAACCCTCCAGCTCTCAGGGTTTACTTTTTGCTCTATCTTTAGGGTTCAATCCTGGCAGAGCTCTGGGAACCATATGGAATGTCAGGTACTGGCCAGGTCAGCCGATGCAAAGCAAGCACCCTACACACTGTACTATTTCCTAAGCAATTCCCATGAAGTATTATGGTTCTTCAAGTTGAAATCAGCAAGCATCAAACATTTTATGGCTCTGAATTTCCTACTTTTCTTATTAATAGAGGACTCTGTTCATCAAAATTGTATAGGATTTTCTAGTGTATTTTCTGTTATGATGAAAATACATATATGAAAATAATGTATTTTTCAGAACAAAAGAATTTTGAGCAAGCTTATTTTGAGAACCACGGTCTGTTTCTCTCATTTTGGTTTCACATCGAACACTTTATAGATCAGTCTCAATATTATTAAAATAAAACTTTTTTTCTTAGAAAATATCACTATGGTAGGCATTGTAGGAAGAACATCCCCTAGATTTGTTATTTCCTATTTTAAAAAATTGCATTTTTTAGACTGCTAAAGAGTGTGTAATGAATGGGGAAAAGGAACTTTTTAATAAAAGTGAAAAAAATAATTTGTAAAAAGAGATTGTGAGCAAAGTATATAAATATAGTTTATATAATAATAACTATGTTATTAACTATTCAGCTACCAACTTATTTAGTCCCATAATGTTTGGAACACTAAACAAGACTGTCTAATGTAAAATGCACTTGCTTTCAAACACCCTATATGGTATTTGATCCAAACTATTATGAATAGTAGCTGGTACCCAGGATCAAACTAGGGTCAGTTGTACGCAAGAAATTATCCCTTGCACTGTTTATGTAGTCCATAGATATGATCTATGGGAAAAATATAAAGTTAAAGTATATATAAAACTCTTATGATACTAAGCACTGTCACAGAACCAGAGAACTACTTGTAAACATACAAAATTATTTTTACTCATGGAATACTTCCTATTGCCTTGATATCATCTGTCCAGAACACCTGAGGGAAAAAATGCGAGATTGCCTTATTGGAGAAAGAAGTAGCAGAGACTGTCCTAATGAGGCCTGTCATGAAAAAAGTGACATAAGTCTGACATCATTATTATTCAGGTTTTCATTTACTCATGGGGTTTCACTCAGTTGATAATAAAATTGAGCATCATCAGCTGTGGCACTGGTGACTCCAAAGTACCACTGAGGCAGCACTGATGATCATTGTCATCACAAGGTCAGTAGCATACCCGTGGGCACTACTACTGAACTATCAGACCCAGTTGGGCAAATATCACCAGGAGTTGTTCCCAGGATCATAGAGCACTGCTTGGGAACCCCTGGCCCCAGAGAAACAAACACTAAATTCACCTTAGTTTCTAAACGTCATAGCTTAATATAACATGATCAGAACAGATAATAGCCTACATTTGGACATCATCACCTATGACAAGATATTTTACTGTAAATTACTGAAAGTTCTGTAAAATGTAGATGTTTAATAGACAACAGAGGGTAAAAACACAATACACACTGTCAAAATAATGGTGATAACACCTTATACTTTGGTTGTTTACTTTACTGAGGGGAAATGTGGATCCTTATATCAGCCCAGGATTACAGCAGATATCATACCACATATTTCTAACCCCAAACAAGTTCAAAATTTAAAGTGTTGTTTTCACTGAAAACAGATCACTAAAGTGTTATTTTAAAGCATAATAATAATAATGTCTAATCCATTTAAATTAGAAATAGTCTCCATGCTATTTGAAGCTTAATTTATTCATATTAAGAATTTTTCTTTTTACTTAAAATAATTAAAGTTTAAACATGGTGGTGTCTAAATAATATCCTACTAGGACATCATTATGTAGATGCTTGTTGGATAACTCATAGATGAATTACTTAACCACAGTACCAATCAGCTGTCATTCATTTTTTCCCCCAGATCAGCAGTGCTAAGTCAAAAATATAACTAAGCACACTTAAAAGGCTAATCAATAACAGACAAGTAAAGTTCTTACAAGATCAGTCCAAAAAATTAATTGCCCTATCCTTGAAAAGATACCTTTTTTAAGTTAATAAAGTTTTATTTGTTTTCTAGCTGCTAAGTTTATAGAAATTAAAAGTCTTGACTATACTTCTTTTGCCAACATGAATTTAAAAGTAGCTTTAAAAAATCTCATTAACATTGTGTTTTTTTCCTGTCCCAAGCTGATTCAATACAAAACAGATTACCTCCTGTCTGTGCCACTAAAGTGCACATAAATATTTCACAAGCCAATTTATCTAAAAATTTTGTCATTCCTCATTTTGAGTCTGGACACAGCACACACTTCACTATAAAGCACTTTAGTTTTTTCAGATAGCATGATCATTGAGATTATGATATATTTTTTCTCATTTTTGCTTGTGCTTAAAATATTGCTTTTGAGTGTTTCAGAATTTCATTATGCCAGATTGGTATACACACCATTATTGGGTCTCAAAAGAATAACAAGAAAATAATTCATTGACATAATTTAAGAGTCAGAAAACTGATAAGATTCTCACCAGTGATTTTCCACCACTGATCCATGGACTGGTGCCAACCTACAGGCAGAAAAAGAAAAAGGTTGAAAACCCCGGTCTACACTATTGAGCCATAAGGAAAGGAGAAAATAAATTTAGCTTTTACTGACCCATGTGGAGAATATAAAAGCTATAGTTCTGATATGAATAAAGTGGTCTAGCCCCATGTTTCTCAATCAAGGAACATGTTTTCCCCACCCCAGGCACCCAGGATATTCTAAGGTTGCCACAGGCAAAATCACCTAAATGTCAGGGTCAGAGCATGACACAAGAATAGAGAGCCAGGTAGTAGGAGGGGGCATGAGAAGTAAACATGGTCAGTAGGGGACCATTACTGGGAAATTGTTGAAAAATACTAGTTTAACATATTGAGAAATGCATAAAGAAATCTGATGAAATTTTGGCACTGAAATTAAAATGAGATCATTGGGGTCAAAGAGATAGTACTGGGAGTAAGACATTTATCTTGCAAGCAACCAACCCCAGTTCAATTCCCCATGTCACCTATGGTCCTCCAAGTCCCACTAGAAATGATCCTAGAGAGTAACAATAGAAGTAAGCATTAAGCATTGCTGGCTGTGGCCTCGAAACCCAAACAAAACAAACGATTTGCAGCAAAAGATATATCATGGATTTAAGGCATTTGCTTTACATTCCTGGTATCCTCGTCCAAACTTTGGCACCAAATGTCCTCCCAGGATTCAGGAGTCAGTTTTGAGCATAGAGCCAGGAACCGTTCCTGAGCACCTCTGGGTGTGGCCCACCCTCTCCCCCCCAGCAAACAACAAAAATTTAAGAAATTAAGTTAACACCTCCTGTCATTTTTTAATCAAAAGTTAAGTGAGCAATCTCTTATCTCTAGACCAACATTTGTCAAACTTTTTTTTGGAAAAGGTGAAATAGCACAGGATTTCTATGTGGTCATAAGACTTCTATTACAACTAATTTACCCATTCATAATCATGCTTATAAAATTCAATATATCTGCATTTCAACAAATATTTATTTATAAAAGCAAGTAGAAGTTCTAATTGTTTGCTAACTCCTGAGTTAAAGGACTAAAATCCCTAGATCGCAAGGTAGAAACTGCAAGTTGACAAAGGACACTGCTGAATCCATGAAGAAATGATAGAAACTTCATGCCCATTGGAGTAACTGTAAATAACCAAGAAAACCTAAGAAGGGTATACATGGAGTCAAAATAGGAAGAAGTTTTATTTATTTATTTATTTATTCCTATTTTTGTGAAACACCATGAGGTACAGTTATAGACTTACAAATTTTTGTGTTTGGGTTTCAGTTATACAATGATCAAGTACCCATCCCTCCACCAGCGCCCATCCTCCACCACCACGGGTCCCAGCATCCCTCCTACCCCCCACCCCACCCCCGATCCCACCCTGCCTCTGTGGCAGGGCATCCCCTTTTGTTCTCTCTCTCCTTTTGGGTCCTGTGGTTTGCAAGAGAGGCATTGAGTGGCAATCATGTTTGGTCTATAGTCTACTTTCAGCATGCTTCTCCCACCCTGGGAGGATCCTCCCAACACCCTGTTAGAAAAGATGAAGTCCTGAAATTTACATACAAATGGTACTACATGGAAAGTATCATGTTAAGCGAAATGAGTCAGAAAGAGCGGAATAGACACAGAAAAATTGCATTCATCTGGGAAACATAAAGCAACAAAATGGGAGACTAACACCCAGGAGTGGCCGAAGTTAGTACCAGGAATTTTGCTCCATGACTTGGAGGTCAGCCACACGTGCTAGGGAAATAGGAAGCTCAGATAGAGAAGAGAGCACCAAATAAAATAGGAAGAAGTTTTAAAGAAACATTTTGATTGACTTTAGGCTATACTATCACAATATTTTCTTATATATATTATAGAATGCATATCAACATAACACATAATATATATGATAATGGAGTATAATAGTTATATGAAACAATTTACAAACTATGGTCCTAATTATTTTTTCTAAATGCAATGCTAGAAGAATAGTTTTATATTCCTGGTAATTAACATGTTAATTTTCATTAAATCGCCATATTATGTGATCAGATCAGAAAGTCCAGTTTGTGTAAATTCACTTTGAACTTACAGAGATATGAACCAAAACCTATATTCTTCAGTCCTCAAAAAGTAATGAATAGAGTTTTATTTAGTACACAGGCTCTAGAACCTTACCATCTGAATGAGACTGACTGTGTTTCTAGAGGGAAACTATCCAATTTTACTGAGTCTGAGTAAAAATGACTAATAGCTGTAACTTCTTAGATTAGAGGTGATAGTCTGAAAATTTTGTAGACTACCATGTTTAGCTATTACAATATCTTTGAAGTTGATATTATTTTGCCCGCAATATAGTTGTGAAAACTGAGGAACGAGAAGGTTAAACATCTTATTATGGTTTCTCTGAAAAAAAAAAAGACCACTATATTAAATATGCAGTCTGGTTTCAAGGACTAAGATCTAAACAATGTTCTATATGGGTTGGGCAAACGACAATCCTTTGACCAAATTAATCATGACCTATGTCTTTAAATAAAGATTTATTGGAATACATATTTAGGCATTCATTTACATATTGTTTACATCTGCTATTGCATCACAAGATTGGTGTTAAGTTTTCTGGCCTCTACTCTAAGATATTCATAAATGGTCATCTGTCCTAGCTCTTACACTATTTCATTTATGTCAATCCCAGTTTTTATCATAAATTAAAGATCACGTCACAGACTTGCAGTGTTGTTAATTGAATTAATTTCTGCTATGCATATGCACTGTGCCCTTTAAAAGTAAGGAATAGTTAGTATTTTTTAAAAGTGATTTGCCCACAGAAGTTGTGGTTTTCGATTGCTTGTTTATTCCCCTATAAGCATTTTCTGCTAATAAAATTTAAAAAATTTCTCCAAAGGGCATATGAGAAATAGCTTATGCCTCTTATTTAAGAAGAAATTCACATATAATGCTTGAGATCTCATATCTTGTTATGTAAGGAAATTTTAAAAAGTTCCCTGGTAGTTGCATTTAGAACAATAACCAAGATATAAAAACAACCCAAATTCCCAACTATGGATGAATGGATCAAGAAGTAGTAATGTATCTACACAATAGGATACAATTCAGTTCTAAGAAAGAACAAAATCATATAATTTGCAGCAACATGGATGGAACTAGAATATGTAATGCTGAGTTTAGTCAGTCCAAAGGAAAGGGAGACATGCAGAATGATCTCTCTCATATAGGGGACTTAAAATACAACGAAGAGCAAGAAAAGTCTGAAGGCATAATAAAGAGAAAATTAATCCATGCAAGTGAGTGTGGGCAGGACTAGACTGGAAGGGTTCTGGCAAAGGGAGAATGGGTACACGGTGATGGGTAAAGTGCTGGAATTACATGTATGTGAAACCATTATTAATAGTATTGTAAACTACAGAACTCAATTAAAAACATAAAATAATTTTTAAAAATCAGGAGATCCTCCCAACAAGGCCTTATTGCCTATTCTTTCTCTCTGTCAACTACACTGCCTCCAAGGTTTAATTTAGTTATGTTGCTTCTCTGCTGTCAACTATTCCCAGCTTCAGACGAGGTTCTGAGTTCTTTAAGAAAAGAGTCATATTTTTATCTCTGTCCCCAGTAAATTATACAAGACATAAAGTATAGTGAATTGCATGCTGAATGCTTAGTATCTGGACAAAACCTCTGCACTTGCAATGTTTGGGATTTCCCCTTTCAGTCAGCATCTCATATGGCTAACTACAAGGTTAGATGTAGATTTCCCCCACTTAAAGCGTGGGATTCTCTCCTTACTTCTAGGGTAAGCCACATGCCTCTCCTGGTGCTAAATAATTATATAAGAAAGTATAATTTATTTAAATTACATGAAATCAATGGTACACCTTTGAAAATAATGCAAATGGATAGAAATAGAAATGGTAAATAATTTGACTGCAAATTCTGGAGTTCTCTTTAAATGTAGACCATTTCATTTCAGAGTATAATTCTATAGTTTCGTGGTGTCATATTCACTGTTGGCCTTCTATGCAATGCAATGATTTCACCTTATATTTAATAGAAGATGGAGTAAATTTTCCCAACCCCTGAAACTTGGTTAGATTTATTTTAATCGATGAGTCCTCTTACCCATCTCTATCCTGACACAATTATGGCCACAATAATGGAGTATTCATATCATCAGGATTCAATGAAAATAAACTTAGAAAATTGTTTTAGAAAATTTATGAAACTCATGCCTTGTTACTTGGATTTGAAATCAACACCTGCAACAGATTCCATTTCACTAAACTGTATATGTCACAAGTTTATTGTTATTAGAGTGGTGTATAAGAAGTAAAGACTGTCATGGAAAGCTAGAAAGCTAGTTCTGGAACCACACTCTATAGTGGTCAAGCACTTCTGAACTGGTAATGTCACTACACAAGTTAACAATCATAATGTCAGTGTACAGATTTATTGAAATCTGAAATCTATTTCCTATTAATCTCAAACTTCATGAGAATAAGCAGCTAACAAAGCCATTTGATTAGTGCCTTGATATGCTGAATGTTCTTGAGGTCAGATAATTTCCCCTCTTATGTGTGTGATTTTGTGCTTGGGGTTACTCCTGGCTCTGAGCTCAGGTATCAATTCTGGCAGGTTCAGGGGACTCTGTGGGGTGCTTGTGAAGGGGGGGGATTGCTAAAGATTGAACCCAGTTGTGCTTAGAGCAAGACACATGCCCTACCCACTGGTACTATCACCGTGGCCCTGGGCAAATTTCTCAACCAAGTTGGCTGAAGCCTCATCAGAGATCTTAATTTCAACTGATTATAACAGAAGGTTATTAATACCTGATAGATCTAAGGTAGCAATGATGGATCTTAAAATATAAAGACTCAAATTGTGAAAGCTGCCTAAGGCTCACAGTGGCTCCCCATAGAGCACCCTCTACCCTTGGCCCACCGCTGCCCCCCCCCCCACACACACACAAATGATGCATTTGGGCCTAATAACAACC